ATTTGTTGGATAACACGGAACCCAAGAGGAAAAACATAGGCAGTTACTTAGCCCCCTATATTAAACCGGACGGTTTAGGACCTTCGGAGCCTCAGGGTTTAGGAGTTTCGGGCTTCGGAGTTTGAGGTTTAGGGTTTAGGGTTTCAGGGTTTAGGGTTTAGGGTTTCAGGGTTCAGGGTTCAGGGGTTTAGGGTTTAGGGATCGGGGGTTTAAGGCTCAACCAAAGCTCCCCAAATCGAACCGAAAGGGCTTCTAGCGAGCGAACTGCCTCGTAGATGGCTCGCCAAGCCTCTGGCATGCCTCACGTTCGAGGCAGAAAAACCATACAAGCTACAGCCGAGGGGACAGTGAGCCCCAAACCCAGTCCAAAGGCAAAGGAATAAGGGGAGGAGTGGAGTCTTCGGGTTTGGGGGAAGGGTGACAACTGATTCCACTGTCATTTTGAAGGCCACGCTGTGAGTGGAGCGCTTGAAGAACTTCGAAAGACAAGCGAACCTTGTGGCAGTAGGCTTCTTGAGCTTTGGGGTTCAAGATGACAGCCACAAAGATCTTAACGATAAGATCATGCTTGCTTTGCATTCAAGCGTAGTGGGGGTTTCTTTTCAGTGTTACCCATCAGTACTGCAAGCAATATGCAACTGCGAGAAGTCTCTTTGTCACTTTGGTGCCCGACAAGTGCGACTACTGTGCTTTGAATCACTGGTGCTATGCCCAAGGCTGAATTTCCCACAGATGCGGATCTACAGAACTACTCAGCTTCAAGGGGTGTATTGCCTGCTAGCTTGCGGAGGCTTGTTGCGTGATTACGGGCAGGCCAGGCAATGTATAGATACAAGGAGCGCAAGCATTGCAGTAATGGTGGTAGTGGCTCTGGCGACTGCGCCTTACAGCTAGACCCAGACTCCTGCTTCAAAGACCAAAGCTCTGCGGCTTTAAACCAATGCATTGCAGAGCCAAGCCACATCTCTTCCGCCCCGGCAGTGGTGCAGAGGCACGGAGGAACGACGGCAACAACACAGGGACGAGACTCTCTACGACTACTATTGACAGTGCTATTACCACGACTGCTACTTCCATTGCTAGGGTAGTAGTAGTCGTTGTGGTAGTAGTCGTAGTAGTAGCAGCAGCAGGAGTAGTAGTAGTAGTAGTAGTAGTAGTAGTAGTAGTAGCAGTAGTAGGAGTAGCCGTAGGGATAGGGGTAGGGTTGGGGTAGGGGTAGGGCTAGAAGTAGGGGTGCCGAAATGATGGTCCATGAGCAATGGCAATAGTAGCACCAGCAGCAGGCAAAAAGCATGGACTATTTTATTATTATTACACTTCCAATCAACAATCGCTGCAAGAGCTTCTTATCTACCGGGATGATATCAGTGGTCGCAGCCGTCATCACAGCAATACAAGAAAACTAAGCAGGGCCTTTTGAGCCATCAGAACAGCAGCGGGCCAAGTTCTGATGACACGAGACAATGGACTCCAAGGCTGGGTTTTCCTAGAAACCCTGAGTCCTTTGCCCAAAAAGTCAAACAGTTATATAAACGTGCAGTAGGAGGACATCCTGTTCGGAGGTGCCGCGGCGACCAAACTAAACCATGAATTGAGGATCGGATTCGGCTTCAGTTCGGATGTCGATCGAACAGACGATCTTACAACATCTTCAAAGTATAGAGCCCAAGTGCAAACGTGAAGATCTCTCTCAGGTCTGAACAACCTGGCCCCTAATAAACCCAAAACCCCTGAACTTTTTTGCCCTAAACCCTAAACCCTAAACCCTAAACTTTAGGCCCTAAACCCTAATAAACCCAAAACCCCTGAACTTTTTTGGGCTTTTGGCGGCAAGCTTTGGAGTGCCACGGCAGAGCTTCCTCACTCGATGTCTGCCATCGGATCCCTGCGAGCAATTGGAGAAAGCCCCAAACCTAACCCTCAACCCTAAACCCTAAACCCTAAATACACTTTACCAGGCTTGGGCCCTACGCCGCAAAAGCCACAAATCCTAATGTAGGGGCCTCAATAAGTAGAATATGGTTTTGGGCTCCTTTACAGTATAGTTATAATAAGGAACCCCCCAAAACAGTATAGGTATTTGTTTAGGCTTCTATATTACACCCCCAACCCAGAAGCCTATACCGGCCAAATCTACTCGCGACTCCAGACTTTTATGGTTGGATGGGGCTTAGGGGTGTAGTGCAACATAGGGGCCTTAATAATTAGAATAGGGGTTTGGGGCCCATTATACTATAATCATTTTAAGGCACCATCCCCAATAGTATAGGTAGTTATTTGGGCCCCTATATTACGCGTCTTCAGACTTGAATTTCCTGGAGGGATTCAGGCGCCCCGCCTTCTGGCGGGACTCAGGAGCACGGCCAACATGTTTCCTCATTTAGTGGTGGCCCTAAACCCGAAACCCTCAAACCCTAAACCGTACCCTAAACCCTCAAAGAGATTTCGAAGCCAAAGGGAGGCCAATGCACTAGAATGTACAATGGATCCGGCTTTCCGGGGCATCGGCCAGGATCCTTCGTACATACTTGGAGGATCAGGGGACTTAGTAAGTTAGGTTAGAAGTACACTAACTGGGGTTATAAGCAACTATAAGTTAACTATACGTATATTTACCCTGCTTCTACCCCTATAGTTACTAAGTCCCATGATTTGTTGCAGTATCGGACATGCACCGAGCCACGTTGCGGGGAACCTCCCGACACGCGTGCTGCGCGGCTTACACTAATAACAAATTTCTGTTTACTCTGCACATCTCCAACCCGACGGCATGTCTACGCGCCGTCGGAGGAAAATTCCTAAACCAAGCAGACATGCCCAAATGACTGAACGTGGAAGTCGCTGCCTACGATTTTGTGCCTCCAACACGAATGACCTTTGGGATTAACGACTTTGGATCCAACAATCCGGAATCCTGCAAACCCTGCAACCCTAAACCCAGAAACCAAGAACCCCTAAACTTTAACCCTGAACCCAAAACCCCAAAACCCTGAACCCTGAACCCTCAACCCTGAAACCCCGAAACCTTAAACCCTGAACCCTACACCCCGAAACCCTAAACCCCATTCCGCCTTGCTTTGGCCTTTGCGGCCGCCCGCGGCTTCCGTAGCAGGAACTCCTCGGGCTCATCCACCTCCAGGTAAAGGAGCCTTTAGAGGAGTTCTTAAGGGAACCCTTACGGGGGTTCACAAGTCTACGGTCTGAGAAGCTTGTGGTGTATGTTTCGGGGAGGACTTTGCGCCATTTTGTGGAGATTCCAGATATCACCAGGGGGTTCAGGTTTTAGGGCTTAAGGCCTCGGGGTAAAAGGATGCTCTTGGCATTGTGAAGGCTCCTCTGCTTAGATTTTTTCTGTCCTAAACCTTCCCCCACCCTCCACACACACAGAGAGAGAAATTCAAGAGGCACATTGTAGTCTTAAGCTTTCTAGACTACATGACCCCCAACACCCGACCGGCAGCGTTCGACACCATAGTCACTCGGACCCTGAACGGAAAAACATGAGGCAGCGTTCATCCTTCAATGAAGACCTTAAAGCTTGGGTACTGCCCCCATACAGTAACAGTCTATAATAGGGCTACAATTAAGGGCCTATTATATCCATAATACAAATATTATCCAGCTGTTACTGAGTGGGGGCAGTACCCAACTTAAAGCCTTAAAGGGTACCTTGACTTAGATAACTACCCAAGGAGTCAGACTATAAAAGAATCCATTCGTCTCTGAAACCATCCAGATAGTCTTCACTCCAGCGGCCATCGCATGAATCCTGCAGACTAGAAAGCTTTACTCCCCAAACCTTTGCGGAATTTCGGTTTTTTTTTTAAGTGTGTTGACATTCAGGGTTTAGGGTTTAGGGTTTAGGGTTTAGGGTCTTGGGTTTGGGTATCTGACTCATTTCTTTCTGGCCCCTTGCCCCCGAGCCTCCAGAATAATAATAATAATAATAACAATGATAACAATAATAATAACAATAATAATAAGAAGAATAATAGTAATATCAATAGTAATAATAATCATAGTAATAATAATCATGATATACATATATATATATATATACATATATATATATATATATGCAACGTCTGGCCAGCGAAGAAGCATCAAGATTTTTCCGGGCTCGCAGGCGGCCTTGTCATGGGTGAAACGGGTGTAGCGCAGGCCACCTGGGTAAATACAGAAGTCTGCATAATTACTTACCCGATCTTCAGTTTTAGGCTGCTCCGTCCGTGTGTGTGTGTGTGTGTGTGTTTGTTTTGTCCTGTTGTTAAGCGTGCGCGTGTTGAAAATGATCTTCATCACAAAGTTGTTGAAGATGCAGGGCCGTTGCTTATCTCTACGTTTGAGGCACGGCCCTTGAAAGACACCAGCTTTTGTGCAAGGAACTAGCGAACTCTGAACCGAGAAGGAATGCACAGGTAAAGTATCTGCACCCATGTCTATATTCATGCACGTTGACGTATATGTGTAGGTACATCTATATTCACACCTAGGGCTAAATAAGCAACTCTTGATTGAGCCAAGATGTGTGTGAACATATATACATACATATATATATATACATATATATATATATACATATATATATATATATAGATGGTTATTTACAAGCTTCAAGTCAGTGCATAGGCTTCAAGTCGGTCCAAGCATGAGCCACAATAACCATAACAATGATGATAGATGCACTGGTCCTATTCGAAGTTGTACGGAAGGCAATTGATCGCCAAAAGAGCTGGGGGGTCGTAACTGTTGCAGTACTGACAGTAATCATGTCATCCGTAGTGTTCGCAGTCAGCATAGATCCCACAATCATCATGGTATGGACGGTATGGGCACTTTCCTAAACTAGGGTCCTTTTCCACGTCCTTCTCAGAAGATTGGCTTGCTCTAACGGGCACCCCAAACGTGGCCAACACAAACTAGTAACAGGGAGGGGAACAAACCCTAAACAGTAAACCCTAAAACCTAATCAAACCTAAACGCATCAAAGCGTTTCAGGCTCACTTCGAAGATTGTGCCGCCACCTTGCAAGCTTAGTTGGGCTTCTTGGAGTGAGCACTTTGGGCTTTCGGGCTTCAGGGGAGCTTAGACTTTGGGCCGTTTAGGGCCTGAAGTAGGGATCTTAGGACTTAGCCTTTGGGGCTGTAGTGTTCTCGGTTTCGAGTGTCAAGGTGTCAATGCTGCACCCCCATCTCAAGTCTTCCCTTGGAAACTTTACGCAACGACGAAGCCTGAGTGCGATCACTTCGGAACAGTTCACTTTTGGCCCTCTCTCTGCATCACGCACTGCCAGTCTATAGCCACTATAGACTCTGCACCTCAATCAAGCCGTTACTGTTTTGTTAGCATTACCATTATTCTTACTACTGTTTTTAGTCTTATTATCCTTACGGTTTTACCATACCTACGATTACTGCTATTCCTAGAATTACTAGACTTGCATCCAAGGCCTCAGTCTGCAAGAACACCTCATCGTCATCAGGAACCGCAGCTGCGGGGTTTTGGGCCTCTCGCGGCTGTATCTCACAGTTTCTTTAAAAGACTTCGGTGGCTTAGGTGGGGTATTTTTGGAGTTGGAGGAGTTTCGCAGCTTCGGTTCCGGGTAGGCGTCTGGGTGAGTAGCAACTTCTGGTACAGCTGGGATCCCTAATTCGTAAACCCTAAACCCATGTTGTTGGCTAGCTGGCATGCAGATTTAAAGCTCTCGAGATTTGGGGGCCCCAGTATCCCACATTCTTCGCACGCCCTGCCATGAATCCTAAACCTTAAACGTTAAACCCTAAATTACTAAAGCCCATTTCCGAAACTGAGCATCTATCCAACCTTTCTCCACACATGGGTAGTTCTGGCTTATGGCTTAGGGTTTAGCGTGCCTTTTTAAGTCCCCCAAGTAAAATGGCACCCTCATAAAAAGGACCCTAAAAGGGACCCTAATTTAGATAGCTACGCCCCACCACCACCACCGCCGCCACCACCACCACCACCACCACCACCACCACCACGATTGCTGTGTTGGTCAACATATCTCAGCATCATCATCGCGGTTCTTGCTCTGGTTTAGATGCAGCCGGCTCTGCCATGGCTGTTGAAGACAACCGGATGAACAATCGCGGGCCGAGGACCTAGGCGTCTTCGGAGTTCCTTGCAGCAAGCTCGGGCCCTGGATTCCAACAAACCTGTTCATAAGAAATAAACGAATAAATAAGTCAACAGCTACACACACACACACATAAATATATAGAGTGTAATCCGGTCTGCGGTATGTATGTGTATGTAATTTACATCTGTTGTATATGCTTAGTCTTATTTCATCAACGGCCTCAGCCTGCAGGAGCACTTCATCGTCATCACCGGCAGCAACCTCTGCCTGCTGTGCCTCCAGGGAACGAGACCCAGAGACTCCAAAACCCCTTAATCAAGGAATATACCTTAAATTATAATAGGATCCCAACCCTAAACCCTAAACCCTAAACCCTAAACCCTAAACCCTAAACCCTAATATGATTTAAGTCATATTCCTTAATTAAAAGGTTTTGGAGTCTCTGGGGACTTCCGAGGTCTAAGGCTTGTAAACGACTTGACCCGCTTCATGGTTCCGGGCTGTAGGGTTTAGGCATTCAGCTTAGGTGAATGACAGAATGAACAGAAGGCCCTAAACCCTAAACCCTAAACCCTAAACCCTAAACCGCTGAAGATTATGGAAGATTCTGAGTCATCAGTTGCTTCAGTGCACAGGCACAAATTTCCGACTGGTCGGCTTTTTACTTTCCGCCCCCCC